GAACTAGGTGAACGGAACCCCAGGCCAGCAGCAGGCTGAGTGGGCCGGTGGCATAAAATCAGCATTTTAATTTAATTTTAAATTAAGCTTCTTAAACATTTTGAAAACCTTGTTTACTTTACATACAACAATAGTTTAGTTATATAACATAGACTTATAGAGAGACACCTTCTAAAAAACGTTAAAATGTATTACCGGCACGCAAAACCTTAAGTGAAAGTGAATAAGTGAAGACTCGGCACACCACTTCTGAAAGGTTGCCGACCCCTGGTATAGTGCCTAGCACAAGTGGGGCCCCAAACTAGGTTGAGATTTATAGGTGTTAATATGAGTAAGAATACTGGATGGGAACTGGATTCTCTGACTCCTACTCCTGACTGTCTGCGGCGGGGGAGGGGGGCTATCTGCGGAAGTACAAGGCTGTATCCTTGCTATAGCAATCCTGAGATAGACAACATGTCTCTTTCGCTGAATAGAGATATTGTGACAATGGCTTGTATTTTTACACGCGGTTTTGAAAATTCACGTATGTAGATCAGTTTCTAAAAATGTGCAATCTAAAGCTCTACCTCCATGAACAATTGCAAACAAAAACAAAAAACCTCCTGCAATCGAGTACATTCATTTTGAAGCAAATGCATATAAACATTAATTATGTGGTAGTACAGTTGATTTTTTTTAAAATGTCTTCCAGTATCCTTTGAGGTGGATTTATCCTAAAGATCCCTCTAGGCCAATCAATGAGTATTACTGAAAATTACAATAAAGAGATCAACATAGCTAACCTTATATAAGTTTTTTGTAATAGCAACCTATACCTAAATGTTGTTAATCTAAAAACTGGTGTGTATATATATATACGCGCACACACACACAGGATGAGATATTACATGACTGAACAAGACAAAGTAGACGAGAGATTTTGCTACTTATCATCTAATGTTCTGGTTAGTCTAAGTGTGGTGAAATGTAAATATGTTCTCTAGTTCCTTAAAAGGGGTGTGGATTTGTTTATAAAGAATTTTTACTATAAACTGTATAATTAAACTTTGTATAACTCCACTGCTGCCTTGGGGTGAGGACTTGATTCCTTTGTTTTGCAACGATACTGGTCTTTGGAATTGTATCTTTAACTGATGTTTTATTTATACTGTAGTCATCAAACCACTACGGCTGCAGAGTACCTTTCAGCGCTAAGCGTTTTGAATACATTAGGGAATTAGGCTTCTCACCACCACTAGGTAGTGAGTAAGGTCCGGAGTTATGCAAGTGTGGTTTTAAACGTGAGGATCAGTGGAACACGTTGTACAAAAAGGGTTGGGGAGGGGATTGTTGTTTTCTTCCTAAGGTGTTGCTAACTAAACTAGCCCTTTTCTTTGGGTAAAATAAATACAATAACCGAGACAAACCCATTTGCAATGACCCGGCTATTCCCGCGAAGGAGGATTTGTCCAGGTTCTGCAGTGTATAAACTCCCCAGGGCAGGGTCGGGGAAAGAGGGGAAACGCTCAGATGCCGCTTTGCAAGTTGATTGCTACTCCGTGTGTGCCAAGAGGGGCCGTTTCAGTGGGTCAGGCCCGTGTGTGTGAAGAGTTGGGGGGGACACCTGTTTCTCAGACCCCTGCGTGCTCTGGGCTGGGTTAGGGAAGCGAGCCTGTAACCAGCCTCGGGGGAAGTGGAAATCTCGCCCTGGGCACAGCGGGGTTTTTCCACTTCGGTGTATTTTCGACTGCGTCGTCCCTTGAGTTTCGCAGCCACGAGTCCCGGAAGGAGACAGGGCGCCCAGCATCGCCTCCTGCCCCTGGAGAGCGGCCCGACCGGAGCCGCCCCGGCAGCACGGGGAGCCCGCGGGCGCCTGGCTCTCCCCGCGCCCCAAGTCCTGCTCTGCTCCCGCCGCCGCCCCGTGCCCGCAGCTCTAACCCCCCGATCCCTTGCGGGGGGAGCCGCTCCCCTCCAGCGCCCGTCTCCCCTCCCCAGCCCGCAGCCGGGCGTTACAAAGCCGCTCCGGACTTTATGCACCAGCCAGCCCGGCCCTTCCCTCCAGGGCTGCCCCTAGAGCCCAGCGCTCCCCGCGGGGGTGGGGTGGGGTGGGGAGGCGACCCCCCCTCTCCTCGCCCCTCAGCCGGGCGCCCCCAGCGCCACGCGGTTACAAAACCAGCCCGTTTTGTAACCAGCCTGCAGGCGCTGGCCAATGAGCGGCGCCGCGCGGGGGGGTCACGTGCCGCGCGGTTTATATAACCGGCCGCGGAGCCGGGGCACTCGTTCGGTGCCGGGCGCGAGCAGCATGGGGCGGCGGGGACGCAGCCAGACGGTCCCAGCAGCAGCAGCACCGCAGCCCAGCCCCGGGGCCCGGCCCCGCGCGCGGCCCCGCGCCCTGTAGAGCGGCCCGGGCCATGGGCTCCCACCCGCCGCGCCAGCTGCTGCTGCAGTTCGCCGCCGGGGCGCTCCAGGCGCAGAGCGTGGAGCGGGCGGCCGAGCTGGGCGGGAGCCCGCTGCAGGTGGATGCCCCGAGCCTGCTGCCCGAGTGGCAGGCGCTGCTCAAGCGGGCCGACGCGCTGGCCTGCGGGGGCCGGCTCCACGAAGCCTTCCAGCTCTACCAGCTGGTCTCCCGCCACCAGCAGCTGCGGGCGGAGCAGCTGGAGAAGCTGGTGGAGTGCCTGGCGCAGGGCATCCGGCTCCGAGAGCGGCTGCCCGCCTGCTGGAGCGGCGGGGGCAGCCTCCGGCAGCCCCGGGACTGGGACATCTTCAGCTGCCGCAAGTGCCAGGGCTTCCTCTTCGAGCCCGTCTCTTTGCCTTGCGGACACACGTTTTGCAAAAAGTGCCTGGAGCGGGACCGGGCCTCCGAGTCCCACTGCGCCCTGTGCAAGGAAGAGGGGAGCCTGGCGGCCGGGCAGCACCTCCGCGTCAATGTCATCCTCAGCAACCTGCTGGCCAAGTGGTTCCCCGGACAAGTGAAGGCATCGCAGCTCAGGCACGAAGGGAACCTCTTCTATAAGGAGAGGAAGCTGCAAGCTGCCCTGCAGAAGTACAATGAAGCAGTCAGCCTAGGTAATGACCCCCCCCCACCCCAGAAATGATCCCCCACCGATCCATTCACATGGGGCAGAGTTAAGGGGGTTAATGCTGCAAGACTTAACTCCTTAGAATTTGGCATTTTTTTTTCTACGGGCAACTTTTGCGACTGATCGATCACAGCCAGGCAGAGGGGATGTCAGACGCCCAAATTTCTCCTTAGACTGCTGCTGAGTGTCATTTATAGTCTTGTTTTTAAATCTGAGCCTATTTACCAAGTAGTTTGACATGGGCAAGTTACAGACTTTGATCCCAGGTGCAGCCATTGGGAGGTATTTCTAGCTAGAACATTGGGGTGGGTGTGGCAGTTCGCATGCGGTGCCGAGGATATGCTATAAAGCCGAGTCCTTTATAAAAAAGCAAACGTTATTAATTTCTGGAGTACTGACTGTCTTAGTGCCAGTTTAAAATCAGTTTACCGAACAGTTTGTCCTGTGCATACTAGGGACTTACAGGCAGCAGAGCATACATGACCTAACGGTGCTCTTTGTTTGGTGGTGGTTGTAGTTTGACAGAGTAAACCAATATCCATCATATTTACCTCTCTTCTCCAGCCATCTCTTCTGGGGGGAGGGATAACTTTTAGGAATCTGTTATTATTTTGTTTTTTTGTAAAGTCCAAAGTGAAACTAGGTCAGGAGAACAGTGTGTTGCATAAGCTTTTAGCCTGCGACTCTGGTCTGGATTCCCTGCCCCCTTCTTATGGAATGGTTGTATAACCAGTGAAGTAACAACAAATTGGGTCATGTTTCTGAAAGCATCCCAGAGGTTTGCTCGTATTTATCAAAATTACGAGTGAGTCATTGTCACAGCTTCCCATTACATGGTGCTCATTGGAATATGCTTTATTTCAGGAGATGGTTGCTGCTTTTTGCCTAAAAAGGGCTTTCCCTCTCTTGAGAAATCTAACTTACGCAGCAGCACGTGGTGAATCATTAATGGACATGTTGCAATGAGTGAAAACATTTAAAATACCCTGGCCTATTTTGTTGAGGGACTTGCTTGTCAAATGATTTTACTAGATATTTAGTGCTTGATCTTGGAATACATGCAGGTCACTTTTAGAACTCATGACAGTTCTGTGTCCTCTTCAGTCTCCACCCAACAGGAACGTTGTAGTAATACAGAACAGCTAAACAAGCTTCTGTAAACACGGTTCAGTTTAACAATGTCAAGCCAGTAATAAACCTTACAAATGGTTGTGAAGAAAACTGATTTATTACTTGTTAACTATAATCTGGCTTCAAAATAAGTAGTGTTGCATAAACTAAATGTAAAAAAAAATTTTTAAATAACAATAAGGGTTCTTAGTCTGGGATATTCTTTAATTGAAGACCAGAATTTTTTCTTAAACCACATTGTGTCTAGCTGTTACAGCACATAGCGTATGAAACAATGGGGCCATTTGATCTATGCTGCTGTAAGAGTTATGTGATGATTGCTGTTATTAGAGATGTGAGTGAGGTAATATCTTTTATTGGACCAACTTCTGCTAGTGAAAAAGAAGTGTTGAGCTGCACAGAGTTCTTCAGGTTGTCATTTAATTTCCTTTGATTATAGAGTTATGTACCATTTACAATTTTTGATCCCAAACCTTTTGAAAAGGGAGTTACTCATTTTAAAATCCCATCTATACTGTGGCAGCATTAATTGGGCCATAATAATACAGTTATGACACACCTTAAATCTTTCTGGTCAGCTTCTATAAACAATCTGATCCTCTGTCTGAGCTGGTGATTTATTTTGTGAGCTGTTCTGAATTTTATGTATGCAGTGTTTACAGCAGTTGTGTAATATAAATCTGACACCTTTGTACCTGGAAATCCCCAGTGTGATTGCCATATCTGATTTTGTAATTGGTTATTTAAATAATGGGTGTTTGCTTTCCTGAGACAACTTGAAAAACTCTTTTCTAAAGCAAAAAAAGAGTCCTAAAGTATAGGGCCCATGTCAGTAATGTTTGTAGTAATTATAATGAGACAATGTTTCCATTGCAGCTCCAAATGACCATTTATTATATAGCAACCGGTCCCAGATTAACTCTACTTTGAAATCTTATGAAGATGCATTGCATGATGCAGAAACAGCATGCAGGCTCCAACCATATTGGTCAAAGGTAAGTTCTAATTTTAACAAATGTATTTAGGGGTAAAACCTCTTTGGCCATCCTGGTGGCTTAGCAAATGCTGTAGCACAAAAGAACTGAATTTGAGAGATGCCTCAACTCTCAGCATCTTAGATCAGTAGAACTCAAACACATTCCATGGGAATACAACTGAGTTCTCTCCCTAGGGAGAAGGGCAGGGGGGCACAGGATGATGGACTAAGCACAATTGTCACTGACCTTTATGGAGGTCAGGCTCTAATGCCCTGTCAGAAGTTGAGTGCAGTGTTTATATTGTGCTAGAAGGAAGCATTAAGGAGAAGGTTAAGAGATCAAGTTGTGGGAAGAGGTTCTTTCCAATGAAGAGATGAGGGATCCCTAGGACTTCAACTACACCAGCCTTTAACTGCAGACAGATGCTGTGAGGGTAAACTTGCATGTGTATCGGGGGGGGGGGGGAGGTAGGGATGTGATACTTCTCTGAAAGCTAAATATGAAAAATCTTCAGGCGTATTGTGGTTAAAAACTCAGACTTCTTATATTTCTCTCGTGTTATTTAAGTAATGCAAACTATCATAATTGCCTTGTGCCTATTTTTATTTCACTTTTGGAATTTTTTTCATAGTAATTATCTTGCTTTAATGAAGAGGCTCAATGTGGTAAAAGGAAATAAACTAGAACTGTAGATCTGTTTGCTTTCAGGGTCACTTAAGGAAAGGACAAGCATTGGCTAATGTGGGGAAAATAGAAGAATCTTTAAGAGAGTTTCTATTTTGCCTTGCCCTGGATTTTGGGAACAGGGCAGCCAAATCAGAGGCTCAAAAGGTGAGTTCTTTAGCCTTGTGCAACAACACTTAGATTACTAAAAATGAAATAGATTTTTTTTTGTTTTAAAAAAATAAATAATGAAGTAAAGATTATTACATGGTGACGTATTACATGGTGTCCATTGCTATACTCCGAAAAGTTTCATTGGAGAGAACAAGAAACACATACAGCACACTGTGTATAGAAAGGCTGTTTTGTGTCTTAAATATTAGTAAGAGAGTTGCCTGTGTAACTTGGATAACAGTAGAGTTGTTAAAAATCAATGGGAGGTTAGTATTGCACTCCTAGACTCCGTGCAATTACACTTCCAGTCTGTTTCCTAGTCTTATTACCAGGTAGACTGATGCTATCAATTGGGACAGAAGTGGGAGTTTCTAGTTAATGTTGTATCAGCTCGATGACTCAGACTGTGAAAACACTGCGCAGCAAGGCCAGGATTCCACTTGGGAGCAGCATCACTCTTTTCACAGCCACTAAAGAGGCTGTGAGCATCAGCAAGCAGAGAAGGCATGAAAGGGAATAGAGTAAACAAAGGAAGAGACTTATTTTAAAAACTGTTTCAAAAGGTGGCTAATTAAAGATAAATGGGCAATGTGACAGATCTATAATAAGCTTCTTCCAGTAGCAAACTAAGCTACAGTATATAGCTGTTACCTTTCTCTTTAAAGAGCTACTGCCAAGGTTGCTAATCCTTCTTTACATACCTTTGGATAATTGTTTCAGTTATTAACACTTACCTTAAGGTTTGCATGTGTATGTTTGACCCTTTGTTGAAAATAATCTTTGCTGGGACACTCAACATTATATAAAATATAATAATAATTTTAGTAGTGGTCCCTGCAGTGAAAACAAACGAGTACATGATTGTTCTGATGTGAGGAAGTGTTTGTGCACCAGTTTGATTATAATATAGTTGATTGGGAGGCTTTGAGTGACTGTAGACATTTGTGTTGTTTTTCCTGTGTTTTCCTGAATTGCTAGCATGTTCCTGTCCCAAAATGCAGTCTCACGCATTGTCATTGATTCATGTATCATTTTTGTAGTGATATCTTCCTGTGTGTTGGAGCAAGATATAATGAACTGATAGGTTTCTAAATTCAGGCTCAAAGTAGCCTTGTCCACGAATGCTATTCACTTCTAAGTAATAGGGTCCTGAGGAGGAACTCGACTCTGTCAGCTACAGAGTGCTTCAAATGATATAATCTATTGATTTTTTTTCCCCAAGACTGTTTGCATAACAGTGACATCCCCTTTTTATGAAATCCTTCACGTGAAAATTTGTCGTTCTGCTCATTGTAATTGGCAGTCTTCACTGGAATTCGTTTTGACGTTGAAGGTTCAATCCTGCAGTCTTACTCACAAGAGGAGTCCCTTTTTGGCTTGAACAGGACTATGGATTGATTGTTATTCATACATGATGTGCTCAATGCACATATGGAAGCATTGCTGGACCAGGCTTGGAGTTTGGTGAAACGATTTCAGTCTTTTATAACATGGAATTCTTATTTTTTTAATGCATTCAGTGAATTGCACTCTGCTAATGGCTAGCAATTTGCTAGTGGATTTTACATTTGTTTTCGGTTGGCGAGAAGCCATTGCCCGTTTTTCATGCCTGCAACTTTGTCACTGTCTGAATTTTTCTTTCTCGACACACCAATTATTTGTAACATAAGAAATTTGATTGGGCCTGGACCTAGGGGATGGTAAGTGCCCTCAGTTCCCAATGACTTCAATGGGAGTTTAGGGTGCATAGCACAAACTTGTATCGAATTCGTCAAGCAGTAGCTGCAGACATGTTTATGTAGAATTCTAGTTCTACAGTCTGCAGAACATAATTCACATGTGTGTAAGCGGTGTTACCCTAAAGAACAAAATCAGTTGACAACTTATCAGCACATTTAACTCTGAAATTGACTCTTTTGCTTATTCTAAGCCTGCATCACACCAGCTTTTATATTTGTTCCTTTTTTGGTTCACCCTAAATCTAATTAGTTGTTGTCCAGGGCTTCTTGAGTGGTTTTGTAAATCAAAGATGTTTGTCAACCATCCCCTTCCTCACAATCCCCACTTTCCCTTAAGAGATTGTAAGAGAAGAACTAAGTAGTGAAGTATGTATTCTGTTTTATATCACAGCTTCTACTTAGTTTATTTTCACCCATCCCGGGAAACGCTCAGGAACACTTACCCGATATCCTGCAGCTGTTGTCACCTCACTCTAGATTGAAGGGGAACCTTCTAAATTCAGTGGGATCTGCAGACACCAGCCATAACCTACAAAGGTTGCTCAAGGTAAAAATAAACTGTGTGGTTCTTAATTTTGCTGTGTTGTATGGGACATTGAATAATACTTTTTTCCAGATTGTGTTTATTGAGAATCAGAATACTTCATACAGACAAGCTAAAGACTGCTTTAGGGATGGAAAAGCTGCAACAAACTACTAATTTACTGGATTCAACTTAATTGATACATAAAAAGGAAGGAAGGCTGTCAGACTTCAAAAGATGATCCTTCTTTTTCTTGCTTGTCAAAATTAATCTCTTTACCTGTGATAACAGAAATTCTAGATCTTCCATTTAGTTTACAACTCAGCCCCATCTCTGCTGTAAAGTTCGGATCCAGATGTCCCCATAGTTTGGGAGATGTTCAGATCAAGGGTTTTGATTTGGCCCTTAATTGATGATAGGCCATCCACCCTGGATTTAGATCCAAAGTTCAGAAGTATTCAGGCTGGCGATTATGGGGTCTTTACCAATATGGGTATATGAGCCACCCATGAGGTTGGTTTCAGATCCAGAGTTCACTAATGTTTATGGGAGTTTGGCTTGAGAGGTTTGGCTGAGGACTATCTTTAGTTCATCCAAACCTGAGACTCCGAGGGTGTAAATTCTGTCACATAGCTGTAGGAAAGCTTTGCGCCAACTCCTGCAAACTAGAATGGTGGCTTTTGCACAGTTCTGCTCAGGTGGACCCCTAAGTCAATGCCATAGTCTCCAAAAGGCCTTTTGTGCTTTCTGAGGAGAGGCCCCCTCGCTTAGATTGCCATTCCTGAATGAGGTAGGTTATTTGGGAGGAGAGGAGACAATTCAACCCCCTACACCTGCCTTCCTGTGTACCATGGTCTCTGATGGCTCTTGACAATGACCTAGAGTATCTACGTTCATATTCACCAGAGGAGTAGGGGGAATCAGTCCCTCCATTTGATTTGGCAAACTGGTAGGCATTATCCTATGAAATGGTTACTAACTGGCTGTTCCATGGCAACAGTAGGATTAAGGATGATGCAGCAAAACTTCTTTAATTTATGACCTGTTGTCTGGGATATTGTGAGCAGCCCATTTTAGCTATTGAGTAAAAGATCAGTCTCACTGAAGCAGCCTTTTGTATGTACTTTTCCTTTTATCGATTGTTTTGTGTATACTCCTACACCTCCCTTGGAATAAAGATCATATGGTGTTTAGTCTTTTAAACCAGCAGTGTGATATACAAAATATTTTTCACTCCTAACTTAAAACCAGTCAAATGGATTTTTCCATAGTTCAGGAAATGACTTCCAGGGTGAGACTTAGCCATGATACTTGATTCAGGAAGTAATTTGGCAAAGTTATAGGCCCCTCTAAATGAAGGCTGATAACACAGCAACACTGTGCTTGTTTTGTTTTGTGTGTGCTTGTTTTGTTGTATATTTTGGGAAGATGGTATTTTGACTGAAAATAAGGCCCAGACACACTGGTTCTCAAACTGGAGTCCATTGGTTTGCAGACCCCTTCTTGATGGTCTGCAACATGACAATTTTTGAGATCGGAGCAGGACTGTGTGTGTGTGTGTGTGTGTGTGTGTGTGTGTAGTTCTCTTACAAAGTGGTCTGCAGAATGAAAATGCTACAGAACTGCAGTCCTGATGTACAATCCTCTTTCGCACAGGTAAATGTGGAACAGAAAAAGAGTTTCCCTGCTCAGGAAGAACAAAAAATGAGTGACTGTGGCAGTCTGAGAAAATCCATTCAAATGATAGAAAGTAAAAAAGGCTGCTCAGAAGATGAGAACAAACATGCCTCCGCCCCAGAGTCTGCCCTTCTCATTTCTGAGAAATGCAGCCTTCTGAAGAGAAAGCACTGCTCTGAGGAAATGAGAAGTGCTGAGGTGCCCTGCAAACTCATGAAGAAAGGTAAACCTGTTTAATAAAATGGGGGCCTGGTCCTGTGCTATGAAGGCAGTGGGAATTTTGCCTTAGTAAGGAATGCAGTGTTGGATCCTTAATTCCAGCAGGAGTTTTGCCTAGGTAAAGAGTGCAGGACTGGGCTCCAAATTAGATTTTCATGTCTTTTCTATTCATTCTGGATTGTAGTCAGGGCTTGAACTGATGTGGAGAGAGTGCAGTTTCCTCTGTAAAAGTAATTACACTAATAAATCTAGGAAGAGAACAAAAGGGATTGGGCCAAGCCCTTGTTTACCAGTTGAGCCCTGAGAATTGAGAGAAATGTCAGTGCCATGTACACTTATGGCACTCTGTCCAATAGTAATAGTATAATTAAAGTCAAAATTTTGACTTGCTTTATTCATACCTACAAAGCATGAACGTTGTTCATTGCTCATGACATCTCTGAGACCACAGAAGTGTTTGGGCCTGATTCGCCCTCCATTCCATGGATAGACAGTGGCGTGACAGGAGAATCCAGCCCTTTATATATTTCCAACAGTGACAACATGGTTGTGTGAGATTAAATTCAAGCCTGTTGTGAGTTGTGCCCACTTATACCGAGGCTGATTTTTTTTGGTGTCTGCACACAAATTATTCCCATGATCCTAATGATTCAATAACTACTCATAAATACATGCAGTATGTGATCACATACTGCATGTTAAAATCAGATGCTGTTTGTGAACTCCCAAAACAGTCTGTCTTTGAAATGTTAAACCAGTCACATAGCTGTGTCCAGTTATATATTCCAATGACTTTTTTTTACAATTATAAATAGGTGCAATTGATGCCAAGGGATCTAGTGCTGGGCGCCGCGTTCCATTTGAATTTGTGGACCCCTCTGACCTGGATTGTTCTTTGTGTATGAGGTATCCATTATTTTCTAACAAATGTTTTTATATTGTACCTGTTTTTCACTGCCATGATCTATGGCATTCCCTAGCTTGCTCGGTCGCTTATTTTTCTATCATTTGGAAGCTGTTTGTTTGGGGGGGATGGGTTTTTCCCTCACTTCTAGTTTTTGGTTCTGAAACGTTAACTATGAATGGGACTATGTCTGAAAGCTTTTGATGTGCCCCAGGCAAATGACTGTTCTGGCAAAAGATACCTCATGTCAGGGTTAAATAGATTAATGAACATATCTGAAAGATTTCTTCTTACCAGCCACTATGTGGAAGTCAACACTTAGTCCTCTGCAGTTAATTTAATACATACGCCATGTATCGATTTTTTTCATAATGCTTGAAATATTTGAAAAGTTGATTTCTATGAAAACACATTATGTAAAATGGTGCCACTATAATAAAGTAGTTGTTGCAATAGTAAAGGCCTTATAAGCAAATAGAAGTCCTTTGTGTGTCTCTAGTACTTAGCCAAAATAAGTCAGCACAAATAACCAAACATAGGCTCAATATACACTTGCTCGCTGTTCTGTTCACACAGTTAAATATCACTGATTTCTCCTCAGAGATGCTTCTAATTTGAGCATGAAAACGGGAGTTGCCTAACAAATCAGTTTTATTATTGGTCTTGCATGCTCCATTAAACTTTGACAGAGGCAAATACATCTTCCCAACTAACATTTAGAAGTACACAATAGTTAAACTATTCTTCCAAATAAAATCTCTAGCTTCAAGCCAGTGTGTGGCAATAAGTTAAACCTTATAAAAGCACTACTATGTTGTAGCTATTATTGGTCAACAAAAGTGCAAGAGTAGACTGCAGATAAAGAGTTCAGGTACAAGATGCCAACCTAGTTCCTGTAGCTGTATACGAACAGCCTGACTTCAAATCATGTTTGTTAAAAATATACAGCAAAACTAAGTATAATTAACATTAGAACTGTGTGCAGGAGATGTAAAATTTAAGCACCTTTCACAGGTCTGTCAGTTTGTGTAATCCGTTCTCAATTAGGATGATTACCTTGACGTGTGACCATAAGAATAAGGAGTTGAGAAATGTATTGGAGTTGGTTTCTCAGGGCTCTGACAAGGACACAGTCGCACTCCAGGAAAAAAAAAAAAATCCCCCAAACCAATTAGCTGTGTTCTGGATTAATCCCCTATTAGCTTTTAAATGAATTGGCATTTGGTTTTTTTGGGGGGGGCGGGGGGGTTTCTGGACACATGGCTGCAGAAGTTTGGATTTGTGTCATTATTTTGACTGAAAAGTTTGCAAATATTTTTGTGCCATCTTTAAAAAATTGTTTAAAATAAAATGAAATGTTTTGGAGAAAATAGGGTATTTGGTTTGGCTAGTTTCAGCTTGGAACAAATTGTTAAAAGAAAACAAAAAATAAAATCAGAAGCCTAAACTATAAACCTGCACCAAGTGCTCCAAAAGTTTACACAGCTCTCAAAAGATTCAGTATTCGTAAGAGCAAAACTCTTCCTCCTACACTCCCTCCCTCCACCACCGCCATATATGCGCACACAATTTGAATTTGGCTGTTTTAATGAGGATGCCCATTTGACTGTTTACAAAGCAATTTTCAGGTACCTTTTTTAAAAATTACTTCGCTCTGACCCTTTACCTTCCCTGACTGTCACGATATTGGCCCTGATCCTGCAACACAGGACAGCACAGATCCTTGCAGCCACATGGAGTCCCACTAAAGTCCTTGAGACCATATGGATGTCAGGGCCTGTGTAAGACGATCCTGTTGGAGGATCTTCCTCTTGCCACTGATATTAACGCATAGTGGTCCTCATGGTCATTATCCATATTGTGTCATTCAGAAATGACTTATCTGTGATTTGGAGGCTGAGGTGTACTTTGGACTAATAGTGACCTTTCACCAACTAACTGCAGAAGCTACTATTGACCTATTTCATCTAAGTGGCAAAGGTGTTACTGACCTATATCCATTTCAGTGGCATGCAGTAAGCACTGGCAGAACATGTTTCGAGGTGGTGAGTCACCCATTCCAGCGGGGGGGGGGGGACAGCAAACTGTCCTGCTGCAAAGGAAAGGATAGGAAGAATAGTAACAGGCCAATATGGCAGCTTTTTGGTGACCTAAAAATCAAAAAGGAATCCTACAGAAATGTAAACATGGACAAATTGTTAAGGATGAGGTATATTAGGTCCTGCCTTAGCCTAAGGGCTGGATGGATGAGCTCTCCAGGTCCCTTCCAAGCAAACACAGAAGCATAGAAATGTAGGGCTGGAAGTGAGCAGGTATTTCCCACCAAGGGTGAATATTGTTGCTGTTGTCGTACTGCACCTGACATGTGGTCTCAAGAAATCTTTCTCTACAATATATCTTTCTCCAATTTGCGAGGCTTAAATCAGCCCCCATTAAACTCAATAGCAAAACTCCCATTAGTGCAGTAAGAGCTGGATCAGGACTGTGATCTAATAGACCTTTCCTGTGCTGTATGCTTACATTTCAAGTGGTATTTGTCCAAGTAAATCTATTGTAAGTTGATTAAATGTACAAACACTTATTTTAGAACTTGGTATTAAACATTTTAAAGCAAAACGGGTAATATTATGCAGTAAAGTTTCTGCTCTTTGAACAACTGACAGGATTTTAACTGATATGCAACAAGATAACTGGCATTTTAGATATTCCTTCATATGCTCCCTCACTAAATGTCTGTACTTATAGCCACTAATGACACTTAACAAAATAGCAATAGCCAGTTTATTAAGAGTCAGTATGTTCTTAAACATATTTTGCATGCTGAAAAAAATAAGTATGGAATTATTTTTATCCCTGGACAGTAGCACCCAGATTTATCTTGATTAAACCAGTTTATTTTTATTTTTTTATTACCTTTAATAAAATGAACTTAAATTATTTAGTCTGATGTAATTACTTATGAGACCTTAAAATATTGAGTGGGGTTTTTTAAGATCAAAGTAGTCGGTTTTGAATGGTCTCATTTCTAGTTTCAATGATTAGAGAGACTTTGGTAACATCCCTCTGTTCTTTAAATGCTCATCAGCAGGGAAAGATCTCTTTGGAATTTAGTCTTCCAATGAATTTAGCCAGGAAAGAAGACAACTAACCTGAAAAGCAGAATCACAATGTGTGTAATGTTTTGATGAAATATGACTCTAATGTGCATTTATTTTGTGGGAGAATGTTCATTTGGAAGTTAGAAGCTATGCAATGTATTCAAACAAAACTAAATTCTCCAGCATTAGATATGGTAACAATAGTGTATACTGGGGTGGGTAAACTACAGCCCGGGGGCCGAATCCGGCCTTTTAGATGTTTTAATCTGGCCCATGAGCTCCCACCAGGGAGCGGGGTCCGGTGCTTCCCCACTCTGGTGCTCCAGCTGGGGAGCGGGGCTGGGGGCTTGCCCTGCTCCATGCATACCGTGGCTCCACATGGCTCCCGAAAGCAGCGCATGTCCCCCCCCTTTGGCTCCACACTCTGCCCCCACCCCAAGTGCTGCCCTCACAGCTCCCACTGGCTGGGCACAGCCAATGGGAGCTGCAGGGGTGGCGCCTGCACACGGGGCAGCACATAGTGCTGCTTGGCTGCACCTCCATGTAGGAGATGGAGGGGGGGGACATGCTGCTGCTTCCGGGAGTTGCTTAAGGTAAGCGCCGCCCGGAGCCTGCACCCCTGATCCCCTCCCACACCCCAACCCCCTGCCCCCGCCCTAATTCCCCTCCTGCCCTCTGAATCCCTCGGTCCCAGCCCGGAGCACCCTCCTCTACCCCCAACCCCTCATCACCACCCCAGAGCCTTCACCCCCAGCCGGAGCCCTCCCTCATGCACGCACCCCTGCCCCAGCCCGGAGCCCCTTCCCACACCCAGAATTCCTCATTTCTGGCCCCACCACAGAGCCCACACGCCCAGCCAGAGCCCTCACCCCCTCCTACACCCCAGCCCTCAGTTTCATGAGCATTCATGGCCTCCCATACAATTTCTATACCCAGATGTGGCCCTCGGGCCAAAAAGTTTGCCCATCCCTAGTGTATACCCATTTTATTAATCCTATAGGTCCCAAAACTGCAAACAATTATGCATGTGCTTAACTTTACCCATGTGAGTTAGGATTTGCAGGATCAGGGCCTTATTTTTAATCAGCTTAATTTGAAAAACATAAGCCCTATCTTATTATTTTGTACTGCCATTCATCACCATAGCATGAGTGCAATCCTGCTCAAATGTCAATGGAAGTTTTGCCACGGATTTCCTTCAATGGGCCCAGGATTTCAGAGAGCGCTTTCTACATTAGACTGACAATAGCAAAATGCCTTAATTGAATAAATACAAAAGTGAAAAACAAGAAACAGATTTCTGACTAAAGTGCACAGAATTGTAACTACTGAATAAATATGAAAAGATGTTATGAAGTAGCCTTTTAATCTTATTCTTGCTACACGATATTGTCGCTTTTTTGTTGATTGTTCCATTCCAGGCTTTTTTATGAACCTGTCACCACACCTTGTGGGCACACCTTCTGCCTGAAATGTCTTGAAAGATGCCTAGATCACAATGCAAAATGTCCCCTGTGCAAAGAAGGTCTCTCTGAGGTAATGATGCATGAATTTGGTCCACATAAACTGGAGGGGAGGGGGAATTAATAACTTAAGAAATCCACTGGTATATCCAAATATACTTGAAATCCCATATGATTTGGGGAAGAAGCCTTTTTCAATGTCTCTCAGGCTCAGAGCTCATGTAGTTTTCTGTGCTTAAACACTTTTAAGACCTAAAGCCCTGATCCAGCATAGAGCTCTGTGTGGGTGGTTGCACACTGAGATCAGCAGTGCTCTGCCTGGTCAGCCCATGTGGTGCACGTGACTGGTGTTCACTTGAACTTCTTCAGTCATGTTCTCAGTTCATGCCTTAAAAGGATACTGTCAAGTACCTTAGATGCTAATTTTTGTCTGCTTTAAAATTGTTAAATTATTTGTGTGGCCTTCACTAGTAGGATTTGGTATGCTTTCTTTTTCTCTTTGGTTTACTCTTCAGTTTTTGCTCTCTCTCTTGCAGGAATGCATATTTGTAATTATTTGAAGTTTTATAAAAATTTGGGAGCTGAGGGTTGGAAGGGAATAAACTGTTTTAAACATGATGAGAAATGTCTCCCAGATTTCAAGGGTGGGATTTTAAAAAATGCTTGGCATTGGTAAACTCCCATGGACTAACAATTTTCAATTGTAGTGGAGAGGGGAAGAGAGTAGCTAGGGTTTGTAGAGTCTCCAACATTTTGTTCCCTCTTCTGGCTCTGTGACACATTATGTAAAGGGCACTAGTGTTGACTTGCTGCTGCACCAACCAAAAGTAAACAAAATGAGGAAAGTTAATTTTAAGCTCCATGGGAAACACAGCAATGATATAGATCTATACAAATTCTGAGACACATAAACTAAACCAGTAGAGAAAGAAGTGATATCTTCAGAGTGAACAAATTTAAAAGACAGGAAACTATAAATTACTCAACTTTAACTCCTTGAATGGAGTAATGAAACTGAAGCTCATCATGCATCCAGCTGTTTCTGCTATGTTTTTGGGAAATACGAAAGCCCATAGGAAATGGCCAATCCCCCAGAAAAATGACACAGTAGCTTTTTTTGGGGGGGGGGGGGGGGTTACCTACTGTCTGTGTAGGTTCTCCATACCAATTACAGGTGTAATAAACAAAGCCCAATCCTGCACGCTCCGAGCATGGAATTCCCCATGACATCAGTTTGGTGCATGATGTTCATGTAGGATATTAGCTTGTAATGCTGTTCTCTGTATTGCTTTGAAAGGTCTTCTCAAAAATCAGTGCTCTGCCCATGTCTTTATAATAGTGCGATGCTACGGGGGTACACCCAAACCAGAAATGGGTCATGTCACCACCTGTCCTGTAACCCTGCGTGCTCCTGTACTGCCAGCTTTGGCTCAGAGCCCTGACACCAACAGCCTGTTCACAGCACACTGGCATCCACCAGCCTGGTTGCTGCTTGCAGGGGTAACCCCAACAGCCCTTCCAGTCTCAGATCTCCCCAAAACATCACACACAAGACCAGTGTGTGTCTAGCTTTAGTAAAAAGACCGTACTTGACACTTTTATAGTTCAGTAATATTGTATAGAATCAGTTGACTCAATTGCTTATTCTTGGTGACCTTGATTGTCACAAGCAGGCCAGAAAGCAAGGAGGGAAATGGATTAGTGACCATTTCAGTTTATAATGGAAGTGACCAAATACAATTAAGAAAAGGCTACATCAGAGGAAACTTTGGTTAAAATATAGCATGGCAGCCATTGCTATACATTGCTTGATAGCTGCTCAGTTGTGCCTTCTTGTTGCAGTGCTTGGCTCTGAGGAAATATTGCAAAACGGTACTGATGGAGGAGTTAATAGCGAAGTACCTTCCAGAGGAACTCACTGAGAGAAGGAAGATTTATGAAGAAGAAATTGCAGAGCTTTCCAAGTATGTAATCAGTTTGTGTGGGCTTTCGTGGGTTTTTTTTTAAACCAGTCTTTAAAAGTAGTTTAGCTAGCAACTGAATGGGTCTCATCACTGTAGAACATGTCCTAAGGTACTGATAAAGGAGCTTACTCTGTATTACATGATTCAAGAAGGGCAGGGTTCAGATACACAAGATTAAACTTCAAGCTATCTGGTAGCATACTCTTGTGATTGGTTTCAAATACAAGAGGAAATCCAAGCCAGTAATATGAGGTGCATCGCAATGACATTGCGTTCTGTTGATCTTGGCGCATGTCATAGTGGCTGGAAGTGGAATTCCACACCATAAAAAAGCTCACCAGTACATGTGGATTGGAAATTGGATGGGAAAGGGAGAGAATTGAGGAACATCTGAACTCTAAAGCAACCTAGAGAGATGAGGTGATAACTCTTTCTGACTTTGCTGGAAGGATAAAAAAAAAGTTCCATTAATTATAATGGAATATCAATTACCATTATTTGGAAAGATGAAAGCAAAAAATAGTTTAACCGTTTTTGTATAATATAGAAATCTTGTTTTCCATTTGATTTTATTGTAAAGCACTTTGGCATCCTGTAATTGCATTGTGTTGCATAAAATGTCTGTGGTTTGTACCTTTCTAACGTTTGTTTGGAAGATGGTGCATGTTTTCCTAGTGGGTCTTTTTTTTCTTATAGCTTAAATAAGAATGTTCCCATCTTTGTCTGCACAATGGCCTATCCTACAGTCCCTTGCCCTCTGCACATCTTTGAGCCATGTTATCGACTGATGATTCGAAGATGCATGGAGACTGGCACCAAACAATTTGGAATGTGTATTGGTGATCCTGTCAAGGGGTGAGTGAGCAGTGCACACCAGTGGTGGCAGTTGCTTTTCTAGATCAGACCAATGATCTGTTTTAGTCCAGTAGCCTGTCTGTACTAGCTGCCTCAAAGGAAGGTGCTGAAAACCCCATAATGGACAACTGTGGAATAACAAGCTGATGGGGGCTGGGGGGCGTTTCTTCCCAACAGTGTTGGTTACTGGTGTGCTGATGTACTGAAGCGTGAAGATAAGATTTATATCCCTTACTAGACACTTCTACCACATCTAGGGTAACTGCAGATATTATTCATTTAAATATTTAATCTTCCTTTGGAATCCCACTAAGCTATTGGCCTCAATGTTATGTGGCAGTGGCTCACAGTTTATTAGGTATGGCTTGAGGAAAAAGTATTTTCTCTTATTAGTCTTAAATTTATTTCTTTGGTACCGCCAGCCAAGTTGGAATGTTAATGAATTTTACTGTCAAAAGAAACAGTTGTGTTATCAGGTCAAATTGACATCTCCGCTGTATTAAATATAGTGGTTGGGATAGAAGTATGGTCAGCTTAGTACGTGGACTGGCTGAGCATTTACATCATGCCATTTACCGCAAACACTAAGTGCCAATCTTGTATCACCCTGCCTTGAAGCCCACATCTGCATTTTGACTCTTCACCATTGTCATAAGGGACTGCAAAGCTTACTAAAATCATTGGTAAGTTTTTCTTTGTAGATTTTATAGTCCTTCCATAGTGCTTACTATCCTTAACCCTACTGGCCATAGAGTTTTCACTGAACATTTGAAGTTCTTACATTTTGAAATGTAGATAAATAGTAGAAAGTGAATTATCCTTCTAGAACAGTTGCACTGGTCCAGTATGTGGTTACCTAAGAGATTCCATTGCACAAGAAATTCTCAGTATTCTAAAATTCAATGGCAACAGACTACATTAATGCAGAATTAAGATTGCTTGGTGGTATATTGTCCCCTTGCAAAACTCAAACTCCTGAAAACCAGGAAATGCCCAGTTAAGATTGCCCATGGAACCTTAAATCTGCCCTCTTTCAGCAATGCTTCCATAGGTCTGTGTAGTCACAGGGCATTTGCTTTGCCCACCCCACAGTTGCTGAAATGTGTTAGCTCTTTACCTCCTTTTTACAGCCCATTCACTCACTCACAGGATTCCATCTAAAACTATTAAAGGACAAAAATGAGAAGAAAATCATCCTAACTCCTGGACACACATCTGATACGATCCAATGTATGAGATGAACACCAGGAATAAGGCTCAGATTATTTCTGCCCTAATGAATCACCCCAGTGCCCAGTCGGGCACAGTTCTTAAGTCACTGGTTAGATGATGCAGAGTGGACAAAACATGATGCCTGCGCTGTTGGTTCCTAAGCTCTGTGCAGTGTTTCTTTGAAAACATCACATTAATCTGCCCTTGTAACTACTTGGTCCAACCAGTCCCCCAGGAGCTAGTGAAAAAAATCCCCCCGGCAAGTCTCGAACTGGTTGTTTATCACCCATCCCTGTGAATCCCCTATAAACCTCTTCCCCTTGCTGCAGCCCCAAGCCCCTCTCCACTTATTACTCAACTCCTCAGCCTCCTAATAGCCATCTCCTTCCAGGAAGCAGTCAGGTTTAATTTTTTTCCTCCCCACAGACTTCGATTACATTCCCTCAAAATAAAATTGCCGCCTGTGACTTGCAAATTGCAGCTGCCTCTGGCCCCTCAGTCCAAAACTCCTTTTGTCTAAGATGTGGGGCTTGTGATTAATTCATCCTTAGTTATGATAACTGAAGAGGGTGAGTTCACCACCATCCGTCTTAGCATGGTCTGTGATTCATCCAGCTATTAGTACATTTCAATTTAACAGAACAAGGCAGCAGAAGGAAACTGGCTTGGTTTTGGTTTTAGGAGGCATGTAACTTGGATCCTCTAGGTCAAATGATCCCACATTTTGGATCATTAACGCTACCCTTTGCCCCCATGAGGCACCCCAAATTTCATAGCAATCCAAGTAACCATTTGGCTTTTAGAGCACTTACAAAAGCCGAGCATATAAAACGGCAGGCGTGGAAACCCTCTAGTCACCTTTCTGTATTGGCGCATGTGCGCTGTAAAAAGTACGTTTTCTTAAATACTGTTCTCAGTTTGGGTCCCCCCAAAGATTTAATGGGTACCATGCACTACCTGGAGTAAAACGCTGGCTTGAGACCATTATGACCTGCATCACATTAATAGTTAACTGTAATCTCTAGCTCTGTGTGCGAAAAACCCACCTAGAAACTCTTTGAAAAATGGCTTGGGGGTGGGGGGGGAAGGGATTGTATCTCAGAACCCTTAGCCCAAAGGATCCCAATTCTGGCTCACCAAGCCGACTGCACCTTCCTGAGACAGGCCAAATTTCAGATGACTCCAGCTAAGCGCCTCAGTTTTAGAGACTAGAAAAGTCGGCCTTATTACAATGGTGCTGGGCGATCAGCTGAACATTCATGAGGATACAGTTTTGAAAAGTGTTGTATAACCTGAAGGAGAACACTAAACAGAGTAATCTGTATTACATGTAGCACTCCTTGACACTGGTACATATTATTGTATTCTAGAGTGGCTGTTCAGTAAATCGACAGAACTGAACCTGGAAAGAATGCAGCCAATTTATTTGCTTTTGTTTTGATTTAAATAGGTTTGCTGATTATGGCTGCATTCTGGAGATAAGAAACGTTGAATTCTTTGCTGACGGTCGCTCTGTTGTAGACAGCATTGGCAAGAGGAGGTTTAAGGTGATAGAGCACAGCCAGCGTGATGGATACAACACAGCAGATATTGAGTACATTGAGGATCAGAAGGTGAGTTTAACGAAGATTTTCCAAGCGTTTTTATTTTTATAAAGGCAGTTTGTATCAGGATGCGATTTTGCCAGGCCTCCTAATAAGTCTGCTTTATAATTGTCCGATAATCAGATTGGATCTGGCCCTACTCCTGCTGAAATCAATGCTCATATTTTTAAAGTCCACTATTATTGAGAGAATATGTAACACACCCAAAATGTATTAGGTACTGTGCAAACCCACACTGTACTATAGGAAGACAGTGCCTGCCCCGAAGAGTTTTTCATATGAAAAAAAAAAAACCTGAACACAAATCATTTGGGGGACCCATTTTCATTTAAATATATAATCTAGCAAGTGGTGATTGGATTTAGCCTGACAAACACTTGGTTCTGAAAATGGATTTTTTTGTTTTGTTTTAGAACATAGGGGTGAAGGAAAAGGTTGAGATAAACTTTTTTGATTGAGATGCTTTTCAGAAAAATAAACCTAAGAACAAACTTTCAGGATCTGCCCTAGAGTTCTCAAAAGAATTAAGAATGTGTGTAGTGCCTTTTGAAAATGTAATTGGAATTAACTCCAGCCTCACCCCCCTCTCTGTGTTAACTCCAGGTGCAAGGAGAGAACTATGCAGAGTTACTTGTTCTACATGATTCTGTATATGAACAGGCTTATATGTGGTTTAACTCACTCAAACAACCACTCAAGAGTCGAATTCTCAGTCATTTTGGTCCAATGCCAGCTAAGGATCCTGACCCACAGGTACATGACTTTATATTTATCCAGGAATAGAGGTTGTCATTTTTATTGATTACAGGAAGCTTAGCAATCACACACTGATAAACCAAGGAGAATTTTCTAATTCCATTGAAGAAAATGTTAATCCTTTTCATTGATCTTGTATAACCTGTTCAGTATCTGAATTGTTGCCATAAGCTATTGCTGCAGTAACTCTGAGCAAGTCAATATTCATATTTATTATTTCATTTAACTTCCTGAGAAATATTGACAAAAATAATCCCTATTGATTTCAGTGGACGTGCACCAATTTGCAGCGTAACTGAATTTGTCCCAAAGTTAGGTAGAAAATAGAGATCGTACCAAACAGTGACAACTGCAGGACAAAGTTGATGCTAGTGTTACAGGACTCAATACCGCAAGGTGCTGGACACCCTAAACTCCAAGTACTAACAGGGTATAACAGATGTTAGGGTGCTAAATCCCTGATAGGTAGGGCCCTACCAAATTCACGGCCATGAAAAATGCATCACAGACCAGGAAATCTGGCCTTCTCCCATGAATTCTGGTCTTTTGTGTGCTTTTACCCTGTACAGATTTCACAGGGGGAGTCCAGAGTTCACAAATTGGAGGTCCTGACACACAATGGAATTGCGGGGGGGGGCACACGGTTATTTTAGGGGGGCCGCAGATTGCTACCCTTACTTCTGCGCTGCCTTCAGAGCTGGGCGGTCAGAGAGCGAAAGCTGTTGGCTGGGCACCCAGCTCTAAAGGGAGTGCTCCAACAGCACAGATGGCATACCGTATGATGCCACCCTTCTGCACTGCTGCCTTTAGAGATGGGTGGCTGGAGAAAGGTGGCTGCTGACTGCAGGCCCAGCTCTGCAGGAAGCAGCGCAGAAATAAAGGTGGCAATACCATACCATGCCATCCTTGCTTCTGCATTGCTGCTGGCGGTGGCTGGCGGCCTTCAGACTTCTGAAGGCAGCGCCACCGCCAACAGCAGTGCAGAAGTAAAGGTAGCAGTACCGCAACCCCCCTACAACCTTGTGACCACCCCACAACTCCTTTTTTGGGTCAGGACCCCTACAATTACAACACCATGAAACTTCAGATTGAAATAGCTGAAATCATTAAATGTATTAACCAAAATGGACCATGAATTTGGTAGGGCCCTAATCCTAGGTTTGGGCCCACGATGACATAGCATGAAGATAATGCAGAAGAGACAAACTACAGATTACTAGAGGCAAAAATGGGTCTAATCCAAACACTGCAAATTTATAGAAAAGTTTAGGATCTAGGTATAAACTGTGTACGTCTAACTAGAAGTTATTAAAATGGCATTTGGAGGGACCATATAGAAAGCATCTCTTACTAAGAGACTGAAGTGAAAATGTATTGCTCCATACCATGATTTTTTTTTTAAGTCACTGACCGAATCTTCGCTTCTGCATCATAATGTATGTGTGTTGTTCTCTATTGCAGGCTAGCCCCAATGGCCCTGCGTGGTGCTGGTGGGTCCTTGCTGTCCTTCCCCTTGAGAGTAGAGCTCAGCTCCCGTTTCTTGCCATGAAATCTATGAAAGACCGCTTGAATGGCATCAGACGGGTCCTTACATTTATGTCCCGTACAAGGTCACGATGATGCTGAGAACGAGCTGTGAAGCCTCTTGCAATACTTGACTGTGGAGTTTCTCTTGTAACTATATCTAACTGCAATAATGTCTTACGGATTTGTGTGTCAAAACAGGACAAGTTTGAAGTCTAACTTTCAAAGGAAATAAAATATAAAGAGCCAAGGATATTTACAGATCATTCAGTAGTATCCATTTGGATCTCTGAACTTTCTTGAGATGAGTATTCAATTGCTGCACTGCTAGGCTAGTATCATCGGTGTTATATAACAGAACAAAGTGATCTTGTTTGCCATAAACTTTTTGAAAGTTTGAGGTGGGGTTTTTTTTGTAGTAGTAGATAAATGAAATCTGCAGTTTAATGTGAAACAAATACTGATAGTGTTAAAGCATTATTTCAATGAACTGCAAAGTCTTTTATTCCAAATGGTTCAGGTTTATATAGCATTGTATATTATAATGTCCACAACTTCTGTTTGATCATTTATTTTTGCACTACTACAATGTCTTTTTTTTTTTTTTGGTTTCCAAATGTATATTGTAATTATTTATGTGTACATTCTCTACACAGAAAGTAAGCTGCTCTATTTATTTATGGTGTCTTACCATGTATGAATGACTAGGGGAAAAGATATTAGGAATACACAAGCTATTACTTCGATCATTTTTCAATACATTTGTGTTTGAGTACTTTGAATGTTTTTCTACTGTCTCCAGTGTTCTATATTCTAAGAAGGATTGCCCCCAACACAGCTAGCCATGAATATGCAGGCTTTGTCTGAAACAATTCAGTCAGTTGCTGGGTAGAGCTTGATGCTACAATCTTAACTTGGCCCCCAGTCAAGCAAAGCACTTCAGCATATGCTAAAGTGTTTTGTTGATTTGGGGCTTTGGGTAATGAACTTCAGTGGGGTTTGTCCAGAGAGATGACTGAAGGATCCAGCCATTAATTTTGCACAGATATAAAGAGTAGCACTACGCAGCAGCTTGCGGTGAAATGTTGTATTTGAATTGCTATGAGAGTATCACAGCTACCTACAAACAGAAGGCAGGAGCTGATTGGTGTGAGACGCAACCTTTCACCAAAGAGACCTAGAGAGAGGGGTATTATTTCACTTCAGGTTATTAGAGAGATTCTTTATATCAACCCTGTTAAATGTTAAGATCCTGTTATGTTTGTAATTAATATTATGATTTGATTTGTGCTATGAAGGGCTCCAGGAGGGCTCACGAGAAGGAAGGTATTTTAATAAACTTTCTATTTATTCCACCTCAACCTCCAGGTTTTTCCATTAGCCACAAGTCTCTACCTGATCTCTGCGTGTCTCCTGTCAGACACTGAGCCGCTTGATAGCTAATGGTTAAAACCCCAACTGCAAATGAAAATTGGGCTTCACTTCACTTTTTTTCTGCATCTTTTGCTCTGTATAACATTTTGGGCCTGATCTTGCTTCCATTAAAGTCAGTTGGAGTTCTACCATTGACTTACGTGGGAGCAAGCTTGGGTCTTTGTATCTAAACGATGGATTTCCCTCTTCAGAGAGCAAGTAGGATGGATGAAAATTCATGATGATATTGCCCAGAATAGTATTTATTATTTCGTACCCTTCTGGAAAAGCCCTGTAGAATTTAATAGACTATTGTCATCTTTCCATAGGTTTTTAAAATCATTTTAGTTTGAGATAATTTATTTCAGTTCTATAGTTTTTAGAGTAATTTATGAACCCTGTTAAGCTTCTGTAGAATGTAGTTTTTCAGCCCTATTAAATTCTATGGCACTCTTCTGTAAGTGCCATAGAAACAAATTGTCACGTTTCAGATTTCCATCTAGTGATGCAGATTGAAAGTATATTTTGTGTTTTTTGCTTTAGCTACTTGGTAAATACTACAGGAAACTCATTTCAATTAGATTGCCACACTTTTCTGTGGATGGTACTGTGCCTGTTTGAGAATCATACACAGTATAGGGCTTCTGTTCTTGGTTTATTAATTTCATTTTTTGGCATTTGTTTTGAGTTCTATGAAGATATCCAAAAATGGGGCTTTTCTCTTTGTATATACACTTAGTACTGTTTCAAACAGCATTACCTTAAAGGACATTAGGGAACCTTTAGTGTGAATCAGCCAGGTCTATGCAGACCAATTAATGTGCAATATGCTAGTGAACTTCAGAAATCACACATCCCTAGTTCACATTACTGCTCTGTGTTCGCAAGCCAGTGAGCAGGGACATCACCCCTTTCACAGTGCAGTTTGTTTATATAGGTGAAGTCAACGTGAATTGAGTAACCATTTCCAATGTTTTTTTCCAGTTTTTATTGGATAAACACCAATTTCTTTTTTTTAATTGGGGGTGTTTTATCCATGTCTGTTAAAACCAAAAATCAGAAGCCTTGTATATGTATTATGAACACCTGTTTTAAACAGTAAACTGCATGGTGGCTGCTGTCTGCTATGACATCTATCTTCATAAGGAAGAAAACCGATAAGTCACTTAGCAAGGAGTGAGTTCTCATCTTATTTGCAGGTGAAGTCACATTAAATGCAGTTCTGACCTAGGCCATTTCTGTATTAATAATGTATAACTTAAGAGACCAGTCCTGCTCCCATACAAGTCAGTGGGTGTTTTTGGTCCTCGCATCCATACGTCTTTAAGTATCTTGTATTTTGGGACTGACTGTATCGCTCTTTTCTGCATGCCAGAACTTCTGTTACATGTATTTGTTACTGGTTCACAGATAACTATGGAGAGTCCTTTAATTACACTTGGCTGGTGGATTTTAAAAGTAGGCATTGTCCTTTCCATCACTCGCAGGGTGAGTTGAAACCACCAATTTTCAACTCTTGGAGTTAATTATGATAACATCTACCAGTTTCTACTTATGCCACTGTGTAGTGTTTATTTTTGAGATACAGTAAATTTGGCATCTTGTCTGAAATGTGAGAAAATAGCTTTAACAATACCTTCACTTAAATTTCATATACTACATTGATCTGATAGTATACTTATTATTCTCGCCATCAAGTTGTCCCCATAACTCGGTGTACTGACCTACTGTAGAATAAAAACAATCCTGTTACCTGTGCACCCAAAAGTATTGATCAATGGCAGTTTTGGCTGCACACCAAATACAGGCTCGGGTTCATAGTTCTTAAACAGCATAGGGTAAAATTCGCCCCTGTGTAGCAAACCCATTTAAATCCCATTTAACCCCTATTTTGGGGGTTTAAATAATGTGTATGCTTTTTGCTGGTCCTTCACACAGGTTAAATATCCACTGGAGCTCAATTCAATAGCCTTGAAGTCAGCAGCAAAAGTTTGATTTCAGGGGGCAGTTTGGTTCCCAATAATGACAATCAGATAAGAGGAAAAAGATTAAACCATAGCTGAATGAAAGCCATCTGCCATACCAATATTGTAGGGCAAGCCATAAAGCAGCCCTAGCATGGGTTTCCTGAAAGTTTTAAATTCATTTACACTTGTTTGATATGATGATTTTGTTCATTTGCGACCTTCACCATTTATGAGACGTGATTAGTGCAAATGCATGAAAATAACTTAATGCTGGTCATGTCATTATGCCACATTCCTGTGTATTAATGATGTATATAGATATATACACACCTCTGATATTCATGTCAAGTTTCTTCAGTAAATTTATTGTTTCTATGACACTAAGTACAAGGCAGACTCAAGCTAAATGACTCCTTCCTGCTTTGTACACTACTTCATCTAACAATAACAAAAAATGATGATGGGGAAAACATATGAATGAAGGGGAAAAAAGTGTTTTCTCTTGGCCAGCTCAACTTGGCCAAAAAACTAAAAATGGGTGAGAACGGAACTGAGTAGATGAGATCAGAATCAGTCTATTGACAGGTATAAATCAGGAGTAACTGCACTGAAGGCAATGAAATTACACCAGTATAAAACTGATGTGAGAACAGAATCCAGCAAAAGGTTGTCAGACCTGGTTAGCCTCATGGTGGTAGCACTGGAGTTCCCTTTTCTTGAGTGCTATTATGTTTTTTTATTAGCTGCTAAGCTGACAGCTGGGATTTCTCATTGTGAAGTGGCTGGTCCATGCTTGGGCTACCCCTCTGTCCTGTATGAGTGTTTACTAGCCTTTAGAGCACATATGAACCACTAATTTGTTAATCCAATAATTATTTTAATCTTGGTAAAAATGGAGTTTGATGACCAATTTGTATTTACTGGGTCTGATAGTGAGGTATAGAGGTTAGAGAGCATTATAAACTGAAGTTTTATATTTTGAATGTGGTCACTCAATGATTTCTTTGATACTGGAATTTTACCAGAGTTTAAACTAGTTAATGAGGGCAAAAGGTACATTTTCAATGCCACCTTGTTGTTTTTTGGGAGTAGTGGGGAGATTGGTTCATGTAGCTTCTTTGTGAAAAGAGATGTTTTGCATATCTATAAGTAACTGAGTCTACAGTTCCTTTTTGTGCAAAACTCAATGGGCATTGTATGCGTTTAGGGTCTGATACAATTGTGTCAATAGACTCTGCATTGACTTCATGAGGGGTTGGATCAAGCCCACAAAGATGGCAGGATCAGGAAAAATGCAGAAAAGTACCTTCCTTGTAAATGAAATACTCTGCCAAGATTTGCAGAATAAATATTGCCAATATACAAGAAACCAGATTGTTTAATACAGGATTAAATTCTTAAATGGCTGATTATGCACAAAAGCTGATCTGTAGGTCTTGTCTACATGGCAGCACAGTGGTAACTACAGCAGTGTGAACTGTAGTATGCTCTAATTGTCCCATGTAGACCATGCTGGTGTGAACTAGAAGGTACCTAGTTATCACTGCTGTAGTCCTATTTGAAACAGGGCTAAGTACTACTTAATTCACACAAGCAGGGTATACAGGGGTCAGAGCACAAGTTAGCATATTCTACAGTTCATACCCCTGTCAGTACTGCACTGCAGTATAGGCAAGCCCAGAATTCTGCATCCAGCTATCATGTACAGAAGTGCTTACTAATATCTGAGAGTTTTCATGAGGTCTCAAATAGAAGTGCCTGTATTTCTATGTTGCTGGTTGCCATTCTTAATCTCAGTCATAGCCCACCCCACACCCCCTTTTTAATTCTTGACATCAGATTTGAGGAACACAGGTTTACAGGGCAGCACTGTGGCAGAAACCATGTAATCGTTTTACATCTACTGGAAGAAAAAAAATCCACAAAGCAGGTGGAAAAAGATCATTTAAGATATCTTCATGTGATGCCGTAGACTTGTCCTATTTAATACCATCAAGCTATGTGGTTATTAGAGAGCCAGAAATAAAATATCAAGTCATTTTAAATAGTGACAAATGTCTTCGGGAGCTTGTGTATTCCATTTGTGTGTAAAGCATCCTTTTATTTTCTTGCACTGTAATGAACTTGAAGTGAAATTAAATTAAACTCTCGTCATTGAAGAGCAGTACTATTCCGCTACCTCTATACAAGTTT